CTGCCGACATCACCCGAGATTACTTCTTGTTGAAGCAAGCTCTCTTGCGAGGATTTAACAAGACTTCTGACGGATATCGTGTTGATTTCCACAGAACGAAGATTAGAGCGGGAGAAACGTACCAGCAGTTTTCGATTCACCTGGGTCGTTTGTTTCAAAAATGGCTGGAGGTATCAGAGGTTGAAGAAACCTTTGAGCCTCTCTCTAACTTCATGATATTAGATCAATTTTTGTCTTCTCTACCTCCAGACTTGAGAATTTTCATCAAAGAGCAGCAGCCAGCGACGCTTGGAGAAGCTGTGCATCTTGCCGACAACTGGGCGTCTGCTCGCAACGCCTAACCCAAGTCTTCCCCTCCTGTAGTGAAGATTGCAAAGCCTTCGTCCTCCAAAGAACCATCCCCAGAAGTAAACAGGAGTAGTTCACCAGCCGTGCGGTGTCACAGCTGTGGAGAAGGGCACATTCGTTCTCGCTGTCCCAGGAATCCCCTCGCCTTCAAGACTGCTGACACTCATCAGCCCAACAACAAGGTCGGCTTCTGCTTGGAAGACAGGAGCTGCCCCTGTTATTGTGCCAGTGGAACAACAAATGGGTCTAGGGCATCTACTTTCAACAGGGACACTGGTTGCTCGTGCATTATTGTCTCTGAGGAAGCCCTGCCGGACGCTGACATCTCCAGCTGCTCGAAGGTTAGTGTCGCCGATTATTTAGGTCGGGTTGACCAGTTCCCTGTTGCTGGGTGCTACCTGCGTTGCCCCTATTTCACTGATTGGTCTAATGTGGTAAGAGCTCCCATTAAATTTGCCAGTGTTCTCATTGGTAATGTTCCCGGTGTTCGTGACCCTAACGACCCGGAACGGTTAAAACTCTCCTCGCCACCAGCACCAGTCTCTTCGCCACCAGCACCAGTCTCTTCGCCACCAGCACCAGTCCCCACACCGCCTGCTGACTACAACGACTCGCCACCTGCCTAGGTCGCCTCGCCACCCTCTCACGCCGCCACGCCTGCCGCCAAGGTCCAAGCTGTAGAGACACGGACGGCGAAGGTGAAACGACCGCTTCCCCTGATTCTGCCGAATTTGTTGCCACTGACTGACTCCCAAGGAGTTCGCCAAGCTTCAAGACTCGTGTGCCACTCTGAAGCGGGTAAGGGAGAAGGTGACTTCCGGGGAGGAGGATCAGGTGAGAGATGGGTCGGTTTATAAATTTGTTTCTATTAATGGGGTGTTACACAGGTCTTGTGTTTCATCCAAGCGACCAGCTAAAGTAGGTCGGGTTTTACTTGTTGTCCCTGCTGTTTGTCGTAGTAACATTCTCTCTGTAGCTCACAAGAGCCCTCTAGCAAGTCACTGTTCTCGTAGGAAAACTTATAGGAAGGTTGCTGATCAGTTTTACTGGCCAGGTATGGGAGCGGATATTAGAGCTTTTTGTAGGAGTTGTGATCAGTGCCCACGTATGTCCGCCAAGGGTAGAGTTCGTCCTGTTTCACTTGAACCCTTACCCGTCATTGCAGAACCATCTTCTCGGGTAGCCATAGATTTTGTTGGACCGTTCTCTCCAGCTAATTTGTTAAAGCAATATAATTGCAGGACCCACATTGCTCGTGTCCTTGACGCCGTCCCCAAGCTGGAGTTAGTCGAGGCACTACCCTGCAAGAGTTCCTGTGAAGTTCGGACGCCAGAGTCTGTTGATCTCAGTTGCCAGTTGCTGCCAACACCTGACGAGATAGAAGAATCCTCTACGACTGGAATTAGGCCCAAACTTAAACTTGGACTGAAGTGGACCTCACGTGCAGTTCCTTGATACGGCCTTACGTTTTGGACATCAAGTTACCACCTATTCTTTTCTATGACCCTTCTTTATTGTGCAATGTGTATTTAAGCATTTGTTGTAAGATGATTATGCTTTGTGTACTAATCTTAAGTTTAATCTACCTTACAGTAGATTTTTGTTGGGGGAGCTGTGTAAGGGCGGAATCGATCTTCCTGCTGGTTACCGCTGCTAACTCGCTTGTTTGCTGGTGCGGACGACACTTGGGGCGGTTGGACAGAGGTGAGAACAGCAGCGACTATCTGGGTCACCGGCAGATTCAACCCAGCCGCCATACAGTCACTATCTAGCTACCCCGCTGTCCGTCAAATTCTGGCTGTGATCTCATCATAGGTCCTGGACTCGTGGGCTGTGTTCCCAGACCTTCACCTATCGACTGTCAATTCTCTGGTCATCTACCACTACCGCATACCACGACCGTCAGTTCATCTCATTCCATCTGTGCCCCGGTGTTCTCCTGCCATTTCAAGACGTCGCTTGAGTGTGGAGTTGAATGGATGCTTTCCTACCCCGAGTGTGGATCACCGTGTTCCAGAACCTTCCCCCAGGGCCACTGCCGTAGGAAATATCTGTTCGTTGTTTGATTCTATCAGTTGTTGACTCCCATTAATTGTTTGATTCTATTAACTGCTGACTCCCATTAATTGTTTGCTCCCTTTAATTGTTTGCTTCCATTAATTGTTTGACTCCATTAACTGTTGACTTGACTTAATTGTTTGACTCCCGAAATTGTTATTTGATATTTGTTGAGTGGTGTCAGAGTTTTGTGTCATATTTTTTATAGTAAAGAGATGTCAATCTCAAATGGTTGTTTGTTATTCCTCAGAAATCCATGGTCCTTGACTTTCCTTAATTAAGAACCTGATTAATTCTGGTTAGGGATTTCTATCCCTAAGTCCCAGGTCTTTACAACACCAAAAACATGAACAAGGTAAATTTTTTATAGTTTTTGGATTTGAAAGGTTAGGAAACATTAGGTCAGATTTTCAAAAGTTTGTTTAGTGTTTTTTAGTATTTTAACCCCACATTTTTCGCTCTACAGTACTTTAAAGCCCTGCCCACTTCAAACAAGTAATTTTGTTGGTAATTTTATTGGTTAAAATACTAAAAAAAAATATACAATTCCAATGGAAACGCAATACATTAAATTACCGTACTTTAATTTTGTTTCCTTTCTCCCTATTTAAGACTAAATATATATGTAGGTGTTAGCAACTTATAAATATTTACCAATCAGAGCGCACTCATGGTAAAATAGCGTGAGTAGGAACTTAGCTGGTCACAGCAAATTATCCACTGCCATATAAATAAAAGGTAAATGTGTAGAATAGGGTGACCACCAGGAGGAATTGTCCGAAGTGGTTGAAACTTTTTCAACACACTAACATCATGAAACTGTATTAACACAAAAATGGAAACGATAATGCATAGAACCTAAGGGAACCTGACCTAACATACCCAACCTCAGGTTTTATTAGAGTCTATGCATTATTTGTTATTTTTTTTATAATGCTAACAACATGACATTAACACAGAAATGGAAATGACAATGCATAGAACCTAAGAGAACCTGACAATCTTTTTCTTTACTCTATCCCGCTTCACAATTCTCCTCCCAGCGCCATTTTTGTTGTTCACCTTGCTGAATCCCTCTTCAAGAGACATTTCCTAAATGATGGTGAACCCTTCCACGTATTCCTCCTGATGTCTATCAACCTCAGTATTATGGTAAGCTGTTTAACACAAATTAACAAGATAATGCATAGGTTGGGTATGTTAGGTCAGGTTCTATTAGGTTCTATGCATTATCGTTTCCATTTTTGTGTTAATACAGTATCATGATGTTAGTGTGTTGAAAAAGTTTCAACCACTTCGGACAATTCCTCCTGGTGGTCACCCTCTTCTACACCTTTAGCAAATAAAAATAGGTAGTGGATATTTTGCCATGACCGACTAAGTTCCTTCTAACCCTATTTTACACCGAGTGTGCTCCAATTGGCTAATCGTCCATTACCGGCGAACAATGCGGGAACGATACGTGACCGTGACTGGCAGCACTTGGCATTTATTTTGCCCCGAGTCGATCGTTGAGTAGCTATAAACATTCCTAACCAGAAGGAGAAGTTTGATTTTGTTCATTTTTTCCACAGATGTTCTGACCATTATAAAAAGAGGTGATATTTACTCAGACCTCATAGAATCTGACCCAACCAGAGAAACCTACCTAAGCTTACCTAGCTTCCTAGCCAAGGGAGGACCCCCGTCACATTAAACAGAAAGTAGTTGGCCAATCAGAGGGCACTCACAGTAAAAATAGCATAAATAGGAACTTAGCCGGCCACGGCAAAATATCCACTCCAATAAAAATATGAAATTCCACGTTCAACCTAAAGCAAATCTTTACCAAAGCTTGGCATGTGAATAGGATTGTAAGACGTTTGGTTTGGGCCTGGATGGTTAAGATCTAGCCTAAACTAACCATGGCCCAAACGTCTGCTCATCATGAGTAGTGGACATACTTGGAGAGTTGAATGTACAGTATACCTGAACGAGCACCAGTGTTGATACAGTCTGATCTTAAATGAGCACATACTCAATGTCGTCAAAACACTCTGGCAGATTGTTCCAAGAATACACAACTCTCACTGCAGAAATATTAGCTCAGACAATGTTCTGTAATTGTGGCTTCTTTAAATTGAAGCTTTGATAAGTTGGTGCCCTTTAATACTGAACATTAACCAATTAACAAATGCTCTTTGAACATCCCAACAAGTTTACTGGCATCCTGTCCTTGACTTACACCATTTTCATTTCAAATGCTTTCAAGGAATGAAGTAATGTTCTTTTAACTTATATACAGTATACTGATGGTCTGTCTGATAACATAAAACACAAACAACTTACCGAATTAATCAAAATTACACACAAAAATTATTCTAGACAAATGCTCACGGTTAACCGGCCATTTCCTCATATTCTGACTAGTTTACTCAGTTTTAGCTGATAAGCAACATAATGAGCAGTAATGAGTCATTTGACTTTTCCACTGCCCGTGTCAGTACTTATTACACTTCACCGACTTATTCTAATCTTTCGTACAATATATGAACTTCGTTCATTCTATCCACATTTAACTCATTACATCTACGTAATCAAGAGATATATCGTACCATATAATTTATGTGAGAGTGAGTGTACGAGAGACGTTCAGCCCTTAAGCAGTCGTCAGGGCGGGTCACTCACTGCTGTCACTCACCCAGCTGATCTCCTTGCTTTTGTTATTGCCGAATTTGGGATCCTGAAACACTGCCCAACTTACGATAACCTTGGTGCCGTTCACTACTGTCAACCACAAAATACCGTAACGCATACCATTAAATGAATTTATTTTTAATCATTTATTTATTTGTTTACTGGTAAATTATTAAGTGTATATTAAAATCATATATGAAAAAAACGAAGTAGATAAAACTTCCTGATTAACACCAACTCCACTTCAAGCTTAAAATTGTCTTTTTCTTAAGGTTTTTAATGTGATTCACTTGATCCTAGCATCCATTTCTGTCGGAAATCACTCGTTTCTGAGTTGCTTAGAATTTTATAAGGTAAGTGGTAGGGCCATTAGTATTATTGAGCGTGACGTTGGTCTTAATTCGGAAAAATACCACTCTGAGGATAACACGAAGTTATTTCCATTGTAGCCCATTGGGATAAAAACGAATATTTACCTTTTTATATATTAATTTAAGTTTATAAATTGAAACTGCCTGCCGATAGTTCCGCCATCTCTACTGCAGTTGTTTGCTCGTACCAGTACCGGTAACCATTTTCTTTTTACCTATTGACAAAATTAATGCCATACAGAGAACCAAGCGCCAAATCTTCCAGTACATTTCCACGACCACGAGTCGGTGCAAAGTAAAATGGGAAAGAAATTTCTCTTGAACTTGAGACAGGAGGAGAGTGGTGGAATAATGAAGACAGAATCTGGGTGAATTTTTTGCAGTGAGAGTTGTGAACTCTTGGAACAGCGACTTTAGAAAACTTTCGACACACAACATTTGAATCGCAGTTTGCCAATTAAAGTGACAAATTTGACAATTATGACCATGAATAAACACTTGTAATCCGAAGTGGATATTTCTCAATCAATCTTGAGAACTGTAGTGGAATTCTCCCCTACAAACGCTGTTTGTCGCTGCCTAGCCGACCCCACCAATTCCCCAGTGTATGCCTCATGGTCTAGGTCAACCAGCGCCGCCATACACCACGGAGCGGGGGTCAACTGCTAAGCCACGCCTACCCCCGCTATTTAAGACCTGACCTCGTGGTGATCTGCGCCCTTTTCTACCTACATCCACAGCCAGCAACACCTCCGCCTGCCTGGCGGTCCTCGCTCCTCCGCCTGCCTGGCGGTCCTCTCTCCCGCTGGCGAGCATGGCGACCCACAAGCTGTCCTTCTCTGAGCGCCCTCACCAACCAGCTCTCTCTACATCACGCTTGTAACCATGCTGCCTTCCCAGCACCAAGCTGCATTGTACATCCAATACAACATGTATATAGAGAGCACATTGTGAGTTTCCTTTCTCCATCCCATCCTGAGTGTGAACACCAAACAATCTCATACCCCACAAATGGTGACTCCCGGAGATTTGCACTCACACAGGATGGAGGAGAAACTGATCACGCTCCCAGTCTTCAAGCAACATGGAAGACTGGCTTATCCACCCAGAAGCAGCTCTCATCGGCTCTACAGCTACTGTCTCTCCACCGCAGGTCAGACACCCTAGAGCAGCTCTGCTACTCTAAGCAGACAGTCGCTCCTCTTACGACCCCAGCACACCCGTCCTGCCTCAGACGCCGACCCCGGCCCAGCAGTAACCCCTGCCGCCCCTGATGCGGCCTCTGTTCCTGAGTGCGGACCCACACACCCCTCTTTTCTCCCTCAGGTACTCCCTGCTAATGTCCTGCACCCTGCTGCTGTTGTGGACCCAGCTGCTGTCACGAGCCCTCATCCGCTGCTGCTGACACAGCCCCTGCTCCTGACCCAGGCCCACACACCCCAGCAGGCGCATCTGACGACTCTGTACCTGCCGTGAGGGAAGCACAAAATTCATCGCCTCCACACACCCTTATTCTCCCTCTCTACTCCCACAGATATTGTGTATCTAGACAGTTGTCCCCAGCGACCGGCTCATCCACGCCATCGCCGTTGTCTCACATGAGGCACGCACCGCCCGTTCTGCCTCACATGTGCTATGCAACCCTGCAGACAACAAGTCTCCTATACAGCCTGGAGGGAAGGGGGAGTATTGTAGTGGAATTCTCCCCTACAAACGCTGTTTGTCGCTGCCTAGCCGACCCCACCAATTCCCCAGTGTATGCCTCATGGTCTAGGTCAACCAGCGCCGCCATACACCACGGAGCGGGGGTCAACTGCTAAGCCACGCCTACGCCCGCTATTTAAGACCTGACCTCGTGGTGATCTGCGCCCTTTTCTACCTACATCCACAGCCAGCAACACCTCCGCCTGCCTGGCGGTCCTCGCTCCTCCGCCTGCCTGGCGGTCCTCTCTCCCGCTGGCGAGCATGGCGACCCACAAGCTGTCCTTCTCTGAGCGCCCTCACCAACCAGCTCTCTCTACATCACGCTTGTAACCATGCTGCCTTCCCAGCACCAAGCTGCATTGTACATCCAATACAACATGTATATAGAGAGCACATTGTGAGTTTCCTTTCTCCATCCCATCCTGAGTGTGAACACCAAACAATCTCATACCCCACAGAACCCTTGGAACAACCTGCCAGTGTTGTAGCGACCAGACTCGAGTCACTTGACCAACATTGGAGCAGGATCAGATAAATTCATGAGGATTAGCCAGTGTGGCATACCAGTACAGTACTTGCCAAATTGGCCTCATCATAACTAATGAGGAGGGTATGGTGGCCAATATGGAACACCTAGACCCAGTTGGAACCAGTCACCACTTTACTTTCATCCTCTTCACCATTGATTGGCTCTTTAGCCGCTTGGGCGATCGGTCACGCCTCTGTTATGCACTGTTGGCAAGTACTAGGCATGCACCGGCTCCTGAATGTACCTGAACCCGCTCCAGTGTTGATCAAGTCTGGTCTTGAAAGAGCTCACACTCGGTGCCGTCACAACACTTCTGGTAGATTGTTCCAAGAGTTCACAACTCTCACCCCGAAAAAGTTTGCCCTCACAGTTTTCTGAACTTGCAGCTTCTTCAATCTTGAGCTGTGACCCCTTGTGGAGCGAGCGTCCGCCAGCTCCAAGTAAGGACACTCAACTGAGTAGTGCCCTCTGAGCACAAGCGTAGCTAGGGGGGGGGCGGGGGGGGGGCGGTCCGCCCCGGGCGGCACTTTTGGAGTGGTGGCGGTATTGATGTGCATGACTACGGTCTTGGTGTGGTTGATGGTGACCTTGTTCTCCGTGGTCCATGCCTGTAGCCTGTCCAGGGTGCCTTGTAGCGATGAGTAGTCTGGTGCGGTGTTGTCCACTGAAGCCCCCACAGTGCAGTCATCCACGTACTTCCACCTGTGAGGAGTGTCCGATAGAGCGTCGTTGATCAGGATGAGGAAGCACAGTGGTCCCATCTTGGTCCCCTGGGGAACACCGCAGGTGAGGTGTTGGAATGTGGAGACCAAGCTCTGATACCTCACTGCCTGGCGACGTCCACTCAAGAAATCAGTGAGCCATGAGACCAGGTTGGTGGGCAGCCCTAGTGCAATAGCCTTGTTGATAACAGTGCAGTGATCAACAAGGTCAAAGGCCTTCCTGAAGTCCACAAGGGCAACGGCCAGTGATGTCTAACGTTTCTGCAAGTTTCTGTGCAGAAAATCCAGAAAGCTCACCAAGCAGTGTGATGTAGAGGAGGTCCTCATATTGCCAAATTGCTGTGGATCAATTGACTGATAGATACTGGCAAATGCCCATTCAAAAACAAAGTCCTCACAAAGTAGACTGGGTATGGGGGTAATGGCAACTGGCCTGAGGTCGTTAGGGGACTGTGGGGTGGTGACCTTGGGGATGGGGGTGACAAATGCGGTTTTCCATTCATTAGGGCATTTGCTTTGTCTGGGGATGCATTAATAATAGAACAGAGGGGTGGTAAGTTTGACTGCAAACTCCTTGTATATTTTGATTGGGAGGTCAATTGGGGTCGTGAGCGTTGGATTTAAATTTCAGGAGTTTGTTGGCAATTTCATATGGTTGAACACTGGAGGGGGAGAAGGTAAGTAAGCTGGGGAGAGTAGATCAAGACTGGGTAAGGTATGACACGGTGGGCAGACGCTTGGACAGCAGGGAGAGGCTGGCAATGCGGGTATTGCCGACCTCAGCGATATATAATTTTTTTTATTTACTTGTAAATAATTTTTTTTTGTATATAACTGTGTTTACATTTTTCCATTATTATACTACAATATGATTAGTTTCAAATAATGATGTTAGTAAATGCCGGTACAGTGCATCACTGATCAGTGTGACCACTGGGCCGTGATTGAGCATGGCATGGTTAAGTGCATGACCTACCTGAGCTGTTTGGTGGCCACAGTACAGTGATTCTAAAAAGAGTATTCGCGGTTTCGGCTTTTCGCTGGGGTTCCAGGAACGTAATTCGCCCCGCGAAAAAACACGGATTACTGTACAGTACTTTACATTCTATGCTGGTCAGGCTCACTGGTCTATAGTTATTTGTGGAGTACCGATCATCCTTCTTGAAGATAGGACTCACATAAGCCATTTTCCAATTACTGGGGACCTTTTGCTCATCCAGGCTCTGATATTCCCCGACGTAGATCAGGACGTGCTAGAAAGCCACCAAGTCGCTTAGACCTCTAAGTATCGTACAGTATCAGTAATATTTCGAAGGGGTGAATGTGATATATACATACAGTATATACTGTACATAGGTATATCTTTCTACTTTGTTTTAATGTTATTGTACCTGTTTTGTTTCATTTTGTTGTTTATTTATCTGCTTAGGTTAATATTTGTTTCTTTTGTTTTGTTTGCAGTGTACTGCGCACATCATTGTCATTCCTAAACACCCCTTTAATTCATATTACGCTACATAACATTCAAATCAACCGCGCTTGTAGAATCTCAGAAAACGGGAAACATTGATAAAGACTAACTCACCTAATGAATGTTACGGAATTATTTGATGAATTGTACCCAACTACGAGTATATAATGTTAATCGTATGTACTCACAGCATTAAGGATAACTCAAG